ACGTGTCGCACGCTGCGACAAGTTTTATTATCAAGGGTTGTGTCGCACGCCGCGATGGATGCATGGACATATATGTCCATCATGGGTCCCGGACTGAGAGACAATGGGTGTGTATCATTAGATCAGACATTTATCACTATACTTGACATTGCATTTTATTGTCTTGCACATCTTTATTATTGGTGAGCTTGATCTTGCGTTGTTGATCTTGTGAGTGCCATTCTGTGGAACTTGTGATTGATGAACATTGAGCTTGTTGTTGAGGATATGTAATTGTTAGAGTGTTGTTGTTGAGATGTGTGCTATTTAAATTGTAAACTATTAGGTTGGACTAATTTTTATGCAGGTTGTAGTGATGGAAAGGAGTACCTGTATTCTATTCCCTTAGCTTGTGTTTAGAAGTTTACTTGTTGAGTACCGTGTGGTTTGGTACTCACCCATTGCTTTCACATTTTTGTAGGTTACTAGCCCGAAACTTTGTGAAACTCTTTATTCTCTTCTTTTCCGAGGCTTCATGTGGAGATTTGTGAGGTAGTTGTTTGTCGTCTCAGCGGACCTTTTTAATCCTATATATAATCTTGTTCTATTTTAGAGACAACATCATTTGAGACTTATGTTTTCTTTCAATTCTAGTGTAATACGTTAGAGGCTTGTGCACTTGGGGGTTTAATTAAGTTGACATTGTATTCCACATATTATCGTTATATTTGAATTTAGTCTGACTTGTCTAATTAGTGGGATAAGATGAGTGTCATCACATCCATTTTTGGATCGTGACAGAAACACAAATCATAACTAGCTGTATGTGTGAGGGAAACTAAACTCCAGTAATACCAACCTCAAAAAGTCTCAAACAATTGAATCACAGGCCATTCGAATATCAATCTTAACCATATATCTAGGGATGGAAACAGGACATTGTTGGAATTAATGCATCCACATTAATGTTTAGTCTCCCAAAATTGTCTCTTAGTTTTTCAAGAAGTCTTTTAGAATTTCGTAATACATGTATCTAGTAAATTGTGATACATGTATCTAGTTATTTGTGCAAGGCCTTTGATTTACATTATTAGTAGTATAAATAGAGATGTAGTTGATGATTGTAATCATCTCAAGTGGCCTTAAGTAGCCTATATAAAACTTGAGCATTCTCTAAAGATAGTATTCTCCTTCTATATTTACTACAAATTAAATTGGTATCAAGAGCAAGTTTTTGTTCTTAATCTGGGATTAGGTGAAGAAAAAATATGGCATCCAAAACAAATGAAGGTGTTGATTCTTCAGTTGTTCTTACTCCATTTTTTTATGGAACTGATTTTGAATACTGGAAGATAGGAATAAGAACACATTTGAAAGCTGAAGGTTTTGTGGTCTATTGTTGCAATGGCTTTGAAGAGCCAGAAAATGATGGTGAACTTACAGCAGCACAGATGAAAAATCTTGAGGCTAAGTATCATCAAGATGCAAAAGCCTTAAGCAAAATCCAAATGGGAGTCTCAAGAGCATATTTTGCAAAAATTGCTACTTGTGAGACTACAAAACAAGCTTGGGAGTCTCTGGAAACTGAGGTGTATGGTGATGAAAATGTACGCACTATAAATCTTCAAACTCTTAGAAGAGAGTTTCAAAATTTGAAGATGATAGAATCTAAAAAAATAGATGAATATTGCACAAGAGTCATGAATATTGTTAATGAAACATGGTGATACAATTTCTGACCAACAAGTTGTGAAAAAGATTCTAATTAGTGTCACAAAAAAGTATGAGTACATTGTTGCTATCACTGAGGAGACGAAAGATCTTTCCATGCTTTCCATCAAAGAGCTAGTTGAATCATTTCGTGCACACGAGAAACGAAGATTTTTTCATGAAGATCAACCCAAAAAGACGACTTTCCAGTCCAGAACAAATGAGATCCTCAAAAATTCTCAAAAAATCAACAAAAGAAGAATTATAATCCAAAAAAAAAAAAGCAGGATCATGATGGTTCTTCAAAGAAAATTGAAGAAAAAAGTGAGAAAAGTTCTAGTCATTTTTGTAAAATTTGCAAAAAGACTAATCACAGTGCAGAAAAATATTGGCACAAAGGCAAACCCCAATGTAACTTTTATAAAAAGTTTGGCCACATTGAGAAGGATTGCTGGCACAAGAAACGGGAGCAGACAATTTTTTGTGAAAAACGAGAGGAAGAAAGGGAAGAAAAACTTTTCTTTGCTTCTAAATCTGATACTTCAACAAAAAACAATGAATGATATGTTGATAGTGGTTGTAGCAATCACATGACTGGAGATGAAAAGGCTTTCCTCTCAATTAATAATAGCATCACTACTAAAGTGAGAATGGGGAATAGAGCCTTAGTTGATGCAAAAGGTAAACGTACCATTTCGATCAACATAAAAGGGAGCGGTAAGCAAATTCATGATGTTCTTTATGTTTCCGACTTGGAAGAAAATTTGCTTAGTGTTGGTCAACTCATGAAAGTTGGTTATTCTCTTGTGTTTAGAGATAATTGTTGCAGGATTTATGATAAAATTGAGTCAAATCAAGTCATTGTTGAAGTAAAGATGATAAAAAGAAACTTTCCTTTTCAATTTCATTACAATGCATTAAAAAATCAAGTTGTAGATGATTCATGGCTTTGGCACAGAAGATTTTGTCACTTGAATTTTCATGGTTTGAAGCTTCTTAAGCAAAAAGACATGGTGCAACGCCTTCTTGAGATACATATGGAGGTGGATCCATGTGAAAGCAACATAGGAAGTCTTTTCCAAAAGGGATGTCTTGGAGAGCAAGTGTACTTTTGGACCTAATCTATACCAACATTTGCGGACCAATGAAGACTCCATCTCTTGAAAGTCAAAGGTACTTTCTAATCTTTATTGATGATTTTTCAAGAATGACTTGGGTTTATTTCTTGAAACAAAAGTCAGAAGCATTTGCTACATTCAAGAAATTTAAAGCCCTTGTTGAGAAGCAAAAAGGTTGCAGCATCAAAACCATTCGCATTGATAGAGGAGGTGAATACACAAGTTGAGAATTCGAAGAATACTACAAAAATGAAGGCATTCAGAAGCAACTTACAACAAGGTACACTCCTCAACAAAATGGTGTATCTGAAAGAAGAAATATAACAATTGTTGAAATGGCCAGAACTTTGATGAATAAGAAAGGGATGCCAAAATATTTTTGGGCAGAAGCAGTACCTACAGCGGTGTACATCCTCAACAAGTGGCCGACAAAGGCATTGAAGGACAAGACACCAGTTGAAGCTTGGAGTGGAATGAAACCTTTTGTAAGTCATTTAAAAAATTTCGGGTGTATTTGTTATGCTCATATACCTACTGAGAAAAGAATAAAATTGGATGAAAAAAGTCAAAGATGTATATTTCTTGGTTATAGTGATGTGACAAAAGGCTATAGGCTTCTCGATGTCAAAACTAACAAACTTGTTGTTAGTAGATATGTCATTTTTAATGAAAAAACAACGTGGAGTTGGAAGGATAAAAAGATAGAGAATACTTCTATCATATCTTTATATGTGCCAAATCAAGAAAACGATGAGGAAGAGGGAGATGTCCCTAAAGAGGAAGAAATTTCAGATTCAGATGATGAAGAACCACCTCCAAGAGGAACAAAAATGTTGAGTGACATTTATCAGAGATGTAACTTTGCCAGTATTGAGCCAGAAAATTATTAGGAGGCAATAAAGCATGATGTTTGAAAGAAAGCCATGGCAAAAGAAATTCGAATGATTGAAAAAAATAATACTTGGGATGGTGGAAATTTGAACTTAATTGGTTATTCTGATAGTGATTGGGATGGAAGTATAGATGACATGAAGAGTACTTCTGGTTATGCTTTCTTATTTGGATCAAGTATTTGTTCTTGGTTATCAAAAAAGCAAAGTGTTGTTGCTCAATCCACTACCAAAGCAGAAAATGTCTCAGCAGCTAAGGCTACTTCTCAAGCTATTTGGCTTAGGAGAATATTTGAAGACATTGGTGAAAAACAAAAAAGATGGATTGTTTTGTATTGCGATAACAAATCAACAATTGCAATTGCCAAAAATCCAGTCAACCTTGAAAGATCAAAGCATATTTCCATCAAGTATCATTTTATCCGAGAAGCACAAGAAAAAAGCGAAATTCAGTTGCATTATTGCCAGACAGGAGAACAACTTGCTGACATCTTCACCAAAGCACTTCCTAGATTTTTTTTTTGCTATCTTCGAGAACGCATTGAAGTTTTCAAGCAAATGCATTAAGGGGGAGTGTTGGAATTAATGCATCCACATTAATGTTTAGTCTTCCAAAATTGTCTCTTAGTTTTTCAAGAAGTCTTTTAGAATTTCATAATACATGTATCTAGTAAATTGTGATACATATATCTAGTTATTTGTGCAAGACCTTTGATTTACATTATTAGTAGTATAAATAGAGATGTAGTTGATGATTGTAATCATCTCAAGTGGCCTTAAATTGCCTATATAAAACTTGAGCATTCTCTAAAGATAGTATTCTCCTTCTATATTTCCTACAGACATGTGCAGGTGTGTAAGGTGCGGGTTTTAGTCTATGAATGGTGGGACAGGTTTTAGGCAGGGCGAATGCGGGGTGTGATGAAATAATTTTTTTTCTATATTGATGCGGGGCAGGGCGAATTACTAGTCTATGCAACGAGTTTAAGGGGGTCTATGACAATGCCTTTCCTACCCGAATAATCGCATGCCTCATTGGGGACATTTATGCATCTCCACTTCAAATGTCCAAATAATCTCAGTCTGACATTCATCATCTTGTCTATTACGTAGTTCAGTTCCACCTTGTCCCAATTTTTTTCTTTTAATATAAGACCAAATAAAATGAAACGAAAGGAGTACATAACAACAAAAGAAAAATTCCAAGTTAGAAATGCAAATTAGTACAGCTTAAATTCTTATACCTCACATTTTCACAACATTGAGAATATGATAAAATAAAAATAAATAACTAAATAAAATGAACCTTACACCCCATTAGATATCAACTTTTATCCAATATTAATGAACTCTTGATTTACAAAGAAAATATATATAAAAGAATCAAAAATGAAAACCATAACGGAAGAAGAAGAAAACTAAGGTAGCAACCATAGCAATTGCTTCCAAAAGAGAGGCAATCTTGAATAAAAAAAATTCAACGAACCGATGATGACGCAATTTGTATAGACTCTTCTTCTTCCGCGAACACAAATTCTTGAATCTCCGCCTCAATGAGGTTGCCTTATAATTCGTAGAATTATTATTATCATCATTACTCGTTGTTATTTCCCCTTGAGAATCACCACCATTGCTAAGACTTTTAGATGCACCATTTTTATTCTTGTTCAACCTCTTGAATGACATCAAATAACCACTCTCTTTCATATCTGAATAACTTGAACGTAACAAGAATTTAGACTATTTGTTTAAACGTTGAGATTGAATCGAACGTCGTATGAATTAGTACTCAAGTCAAATATTGGATTCTTGACTTTGTTTGTTTCTTGGATTTTTTATTTTTTTGGGAGAGGATAATAGAAGATGAGTTTGGTGAGCCAATGAGGGGTTTTGGTAATGCCTATATATAATATAAGGTTGTGGGATAAAGGTATTTTTATATATGATTAGTCAAAAGTGGGGGCTAGAAGTGTGAACATGATTTTTTTAATTGAGCCTTGTAGAAAAAGTCCACTTAGGAGAGAGGTAGTTAAATTCAAGAAATTGGAAACTTCGTAGAAGATAGCTAGGTAGAAGCTTCCTCCCCCTTTCAAGTTTCACACTTAATCGCTTTATACGTTATCCGTGTCCGATACCAGTATTACACTATTCTAAATTTATATTGTACTTTCTTTTAGTGGTTCCCTATTCGGTGTACCTGATTGCATTATACATTATTGATATTCGATATTTGTATTAGAGTTTGACTATTCTGGATTTATACTGTGCCTTTTTTGGTTTCCTATTCGGTGTTCGATAGTTGCATTGGAATCCGACTATTACAGATTAGCGTTGTGTAAGACCTCATTCGGGGGGAGGGGTGGAGGGCTCCCTAAACAAGATTTTTGTCATATTCAAGGCTCCAATTGAGACCTTCAATTAAAAGAGGAGCAACCTCATCCACTGCACCACATCTTTTGATGATGTTCTACTCTCATGGTATATGATATATATGCATATACGTTCTCTTGTCAAAATTTACTACTACATATTTTTTTAATTTGTTTAAAAGTAATGTTCCTTTGTTTTTTGATAATTCATTAATTTCAACTTTTCACCACATATTTAAGATTGTAAGATTAAAGGGCATTTTAATTTGATACATTCTATATATTTTTAATTTAAGACTGTAAGATTCAAAACTTTTATCTATTTTTTTTAACTCTGTGTTAAATCAAAAGTAAAACAAAGGGAGTACTATTTACAAAATATGACTGACAATATTCTTGAGTCAAGGGTCTATGAAAATAATGTTTTTACCCCATAATATGAAAGGTGTAAATTCAGCATATACACCACTCTCTCCAAATCTTACTTTTGTTTCGATGAAGATTGAAGAAATTTAAGACTGGGCATCATTATACTTTCCCACTACAAAATGGACTAGCACTATCACTCCTAAATATTCAAGATGTATCATAAAAGGAAAATGTAAAGTTTGAATGAATTGCGCTTTATAAATAATGTGTGGGTCAAAATGGCAGGAGAATCGTGCGTTGTTGCGCCTTGTAGAATAGATCCACTTAGGAACAAGTAGCCAAATCTTGTTTTTATCTTTTTATTCTCATCTAAAATAAATAACGTTTCACGTAAAATCCAAGAAATTTATTGAAAATTACAAAAAAGATACATACGTAATTGTTAAAATAAATGATGTTTCATGTGAAATTTGAGAAATTAATTAAAGATATGTACGTAATTGCCAATATTATTTAGACCGTTGAATTGAAGCGGGTGCTTCCCATCTTTCAGGGTTTCACACTCCTTTTTTTGGTTTAGTCCAACTCAGTAGATTTTGCTTAAATAGTATATTTGTGATAGTAAATTTATTATATATGTAGAAATATTAAATTTAGAACTAATCCAATTATTATTACTTAAAATCGTCATAATAAATTTTAGAACTCACAAGGTTAAAGTTCCAGTATACTCTTCCTGTTCATATTGAGTAATGCTTATACCTATTTATTCTGATCTAAAATAAATGATATTTCATGTGATTAAGGATTTGTTAATTGTTTTCTTCCAAATTTATCCTCTCTATGTAATCCAATATTAAATATTTACTATGATATTTAAGTAAGAGTGCTTTAATTTATATATGCATCCAAGAGAATAATATTTTTTAATTTAGTAATTTATATATAGAGTAAATAGATATTTTAAATAATTAGTATCTGGCTAGAACATAAAATTAGTGATGATCTGCAAAACCTATACTGTTAACTCTATATCTCCCCCACAGTTGCATCGATATTTTGAGATTGTGTAAATTAATGATATTAATCTTCTAGTCGTTGCCCAAATAGAAAAGATAATATTTGGTGTCTATGGCAGAATTTAATTAATTATTACTATATGATAAATGTGAATAATTTTAAGCATTCACGAGGCCGTTAATATGTCTGTTTAAAATTATTCTTATTTGACTAGGGTCTATTGAAAAAAAATTGTCGACTCTATGGGTGTGTTTGGTATGAAGGAAAACATTTTTCGGATAATATTTTCCAATTTTTTTATGGCTGGTTGGGTAAAATGTTTTTCAAATCAATTCATATTTCTCAAATTTAAGGAAAATGACTTATATTCAAAAATCAAGGAAAACATTTTCCAAAACTCTCCTCCAACTTCATATTACAATTTTTTTGTTGAAAAAAATAAATTTAAAGTTTGTTTTTAAAAATATATTTCCAATTTCAAAATTTTATTTTTTCACCCTTCCATCCTACCGTCGACCCCACTGCCCCCCCCACAAAAAATAATAATTTAAAGTTTGCTTTCAAAAAATATTTTCACCCCACACCACACTTACCCGCAAACCCCCCCCCCCCCCAATCAGCCCCCTACTAGCCACCCACCCCCACCCCCTCCAAAAAAAAATTAAGTTTTTTTTTAAAAATATTTTCAATTTCAATAATTATTTTCTACTCTCTAGTAAAAATAAAAGATATTTTCTCAAAAATATTTTTCATTCATAAATTAAAAACTAAAAAATATTTTCTACTCACCAACCAAACATGAGAAATAAGTCAAAAATCTACTTGGTTGGGTAAAATGTTTTCCAAATAAACTCATTTTCCTCAAATTTAAGAAAAATGACTTTCATTCAAAAATAACGAAAAACATTTTCTAAAACTCTCCTCCAACTTCATATTATATTTTTTTTGTTGAAAAAATAAATTTAAAGTTTGTTTTTAAAAAATATTTCCAATTTTAAATTTTTATTTTTCACCCTCCACCCCGCCAGCACCCCTACCACCCCCCCCCCCAAAAAAAATAGTTTAAAGTTTGTTTTCACCCCACCACCCTACCCTCGACCCCCGCCAGTCCCCCTACCAGAATCCCTCCCCCAAAAAAAATAATTTAAAGTTGTTTTTAAAAAATATTTTCAATTTCAAATTTTTATTTTTCACCCTATCACCCCACCCTCGACCCCCCCCCCCCCCTCCTCCCCACAAAAAAAAAATTGCTTTTAAAAAATATTTTCACTTTCAAATTTTTATTTTCACCCTGCACCACGCCTACCGGCAACCCCCCCCCCCAATCAGCCCCTACCAGCCACCACCCCCCTCCAAAAAAAATTAAGTTTTTTTTTTTAAAAAAAAATCAATTTCAAAAATTATTTTCTACTCTCTAGTAAAAATAAAAGATATTTTCTCAAAAATATTTTTCATTCATAAATTAAACACTAAAACATATTTTTCGATAATATTTTCTACTCACCAACCAAACATGAGAAAACAAGTCAAAAATCTACTTGTTTTCCAGGAAAACATTTTCTAGAAAAACATTTTCCTTCATACCAAACACACCCTATATCTATCTACATTTTATAATCTTTTCGTTCATTTTTATTTATCTATTTTAATTTTTGCATACCTTTTGAATCAATGATTAATACAAATATTTCATTATATATTACTATATAAGAAGAGGGAATAAGTATTCACCACAAGTCAACATGTGTTCCAATAAGAAGAGGGAATAATCAATATATTTATACAAAGAAATAACATATAAAATAAAATGGAGAGAGTATTGGTTTTTCAAAATGGAAAAGGACAAAACACATATAAAACTAAAAAACATATAAAAAAAAAGTTGATTTAACTCTCAAACATAAAAAGTAACATATGTTATTAAAAACTTTAATAAAAAGTACTATAATTTACAATAAATAATAACTTAAAATATCTACAAGACAACAAAAAAAGGACTAATTTTTATACTGATTCTGTCACATAAATTAGGATTGGGATGATTTTAAAATTTTAATTTTGGTTATACAGTATAAAATAGCCAAAAAATTGAATGATATAATTTTAAAAAAAATTAACCGAATGAATTACTATATAAGAAGAGGGAATAAGTATTCACCACAAGTCAACATGTGTTCCAATAAGAAGAGGGAATAACCAATATATTTATAAAAAGAAATGACATATAAAATAAAATGAAGAGAGTATTGGTTTTTCAAAATGGAAAAGGACAAAACACATATAGAATTAAAAGACATATAAAAAAAAGTTGGTTTAACTCTCAAACATAAAAAGTAGCATATGTTATTAAAAACTTTAATAAAAAGTACTATAATTTACAATAAATAATAACAAGACAACAAAAAAAAAGACTAATTTTTGTACTGCTTCTGTCACATAAATTAGGATTGGGATGATTTTAAAATTTTAATTTTGGTTATACATTATAAAATAGCCGAAAATTTGAATGATATAATTTTTTTTTAAATAACCGAATGAATCGTCCTATCGATAACCCTAATGTTACTTCTACTTTGTTTATTTTTACTTAAATTTTAGAAAGATATGCTTCATTTCTACCCTCAATCTTATCGCTACATTTATTTGCTATTTAAAATTGAAATTAAAAAGACAAATGACAAATAAGTTTCTATATTAGCTCACTTATGAGCAAAATATATTATAACAATCTTTACTAATTTTATAACAATACATAAACTATACTCCCTCCGTCCCATA